ACTCAACTGTAGTCTACCAACCTTGCATTCATTAGAAGCAAAAAACCTGTTTTACTTCAGCAAAACTGATGGCAAGAATGCCTTTCATCCATGTCAGAATGAGCAAAGAATTATCTGGATTTGCTTGAACTTTCATAGGCAATAATTTTTAAGGATGCTTCTGGTTATTCTCTTTAGCTCTCTTCCACCACAGCCTCCTCTGTGCCCTTATCGCTGTGTATAGAAAACCAGCATAAATAGGGGTGACGTGCGGCAGTAGTAGTGGGATGTAGCTGTTGTATTGCATCTCCTCCGGGATGCAGGAGAAGAGCTGTGTGCTCTGTGAAGCCATGGAGCCTGGTGAGTAGGTCAGGAGAAAGCAATTGCTCTGGTGCATGTGGGATGTTCCTCCACCTCCACTCAGTCTGACTGCTCACCCAAGGGGGAACTGGAGTTTTTGAGGTGCCCGTGGGGCTCAAACTATTTCTTTGTGCCTTGTTCCACCCCATAATGGGCATCCTCTTTGCACATCACCTTGGATTGCTCTATGGCTTCAGTGAGGCACTTCCAGATCGCAGGATTTCTGCTTTCAGGCATCCCTCCTTTGAGATTATCTTGAACTGTTTAATCACTAATGCACTTCTGTAACTTTAAGGCTGTGGAGGACTCTGCCTTCTCCTTTTTATGCCTTAGCAGCACTTCAGCAATGTGACAAAGGCACAGGCAAAATACGAAAATGGGCAACTCAAGGCCCCCGTTTCAGGGACTCTTCAGGGACTGGAAGGGAAGGAGACAAGGTTACTTGAGTTCTCAATAATGGAGACATTCAGTGCACTAGAAGTGTCTTGTTCAGGAATATATCACAAGATGGTTTGGCTGATACCAGTGCTGGTGAATAAGTGGCATTTTAACCCTATGTGCATATGCCTGTGAGGGTACACAACACTTACCAGTTCTGTTTTTTGTGCCACTTTTCCACTATTTACATATATTTTTTTAATAATTTATTTTTGCAGTGTTGCAAGAGTTTAAAGCGTGGTATTAGTTTTAAAAAAAAGTGTCGATACGTGATAAATACTTCCGTGTTTTACAATTTCATGCTTTCATTTCTTGAATGCTGTGGGGAAATCTTTTGTGTGGAAAGGATTGGTCTCATTGAAATGAGCCTCGTTGCTCTCATTTTGAGCAGCTCCCCTGTGCCTCGTCGTGGTACATTACATATTCTGCAGAAGGGCTGAACATTGTGGGTGGTGTCTATTACTTCTCATACAAAAAATTCCAGACATTGCAGATCTCAAAGAAATAGGAGGCCCTTTTAAAGTTCCTTCAGCAATCTCCTTCAGTTATTTAAAATAAATCCTTCAGATTTTGCTGTCACTCTGCACACCTCTACAAACAAGGTGATAGCTGAAGACCAAAAATAAGAGGTTGAAGTAAACTAAGGGATGGAGCAGAAGCTGAGGGTATACTTTTTAAATCCTTAGAGGCTGTGCCTTCTGACTTAAGTGGGGACATCAGTAGGTTGCAGACCTTGATTTGTAGGTACCAAGATGAGTATCCTCTTGCAACTATTTTTCTTGTCCACAGAGAGCAATTACAGTCTCATTAAGCTCCGTCTTTGTTCCTATCTCCTTCCTGATAAATCTCAGCCCTCCCCTCAGCGTTGCGCTCTCCTGTGTTACTACTGGTTTACCTCTGGTTAAAATTTGCCTAGATGCCCGCTCCCAGAAGAGTCGCCAGCTAAATACTGGAGAAACTCCTGAGCTTCAAAGTTGACGTCCAGGTGTGTACTTCCATGGGATTCTGTAGTGCTGCCCAAGGGAGAGACTAACAGCAAAACTAGGATCAGGAATATTTCTGCTTGCGTGGCATGTTGAGATCCGGGAAAAAGTGCAGGCTCTGAAGGTGGAGATGTGCTCTCATGGTTAGGCGAGTTCTTGGAGGCCCATGGCATCAAGCTGACTCCAGGAGCCCTGCTCCTGCTTGTTCCAGTTCCTGGGAGCTAATAAGCACCAGCTGCAGGAAACCTGAGCTGGAAAGTGTTGTGCAGCTTTCCCTCTGTTTAAAAATATGGCTTTTTTTTTTTTCTTTTTAATTGCGTTTATGTATTTATATGCTGTGGGACATCACTCGTAGGGCATTCCAGCAGTGAAAACAATAGCGTGACAAGGGAGCAGCTCCAGGTTGGACATCAGTGCAGGAAACACCTGTGAGCTCTGTGCCATCCCTTCCATCGCGGCCGTGCCGCTGCAAGCCCGGCCCCGGCGTGGGGGGTGGCTGCTGGCTGTGAGTAAGAGTTTCCACCAAACTCCTCTAGTCTTGGATGTCCTGGTTTCAGCTAAAAAGGATAGAGTTCATTGTCTTCCTAGTCGTAAGTGAGCAGCTGCGTGGTGCTTAGTTGCTAGCTGGGGTTGAACCATGACACTGCTTTTGACCAACTCTGCTGTGAAATCTTGGGAAAGATGTTTGTTTGCCCTGCCGGTGCCCAGGAAGGCAGCTGCTTTGGGTGATATTGGTGCCGGGGCGGGTAGACATGCGGAGCTGCTCTTGGTGGGTCCCTGCTTTGCAGGACCTTCTGGTTGCAGATGGGAGGTGTGGACGTGATGCTCATAGGAGTAGAGGCTAGGGTGGTTGGTTGGTTGGGGTTTTTTTTTGGTTGTTTGGTTTTTTTTTTTTTGTTCCCCTTCTACAGAAAAAAATCTGGGCTGTTCAAATCATTTGCCTTTTCCCTTGTGCTGACAATTTAACAGCCTTTTTAAAAGCTTTGGTTTCTCTCAAGTACGCTCGCCCCATACGTGTTTTAATTTTTGTGCGGAGGCCTGGAGCTTAACAATTATTTTGCTTAAGCTCTCTGAGACTTGCCATAAAACTTTTTTTTTCTTCTTTTAAAAAAAAAAAACCCAACACACACACATGCTAATGATCCCCTCAGATCATATTGTTAAACAGGGAATAAAATACTTACGCCAAGATGACATTATTTAAAAAAATGTTAAAAGCAGGCCAGCAGAGCCCATTTCAACAGTTTTGCTCTGAAATAATTTGCACAGATTTGTTAGAGTTAATTTGTTGAAAAGTTCAATGTTTGTACAGGCAAGTCCTAATTTCCACACTGAGACACAGAAGCAGGAGAGGAGTGAGCGTGTGTCCAGCGTTTGCAGGAGCAGGATGGTGGGAACTTGCCTCCCTCCTCCCCCCCCCCCCCCCGGTGCAGGAATGTAAAAGCAGTGTCAGAAGGCTGGGAAAGTCGGCTTCAGATTTTTGTGGACTCCTTGCAAATCAGAGGAACCGTCTGGCTCAAATCTGCATTTAGGGCCAAGAGAAGAGGATTTCCTGCTATTTAGTTGCTTGAGGAAGGAAAGGATTTACCTCTCCGCTGTAACGGGACTTAATTTTTCTCCTTTTTAATAAGAATATTGCAGCATAGGGCAGCAGCAGTAAACCTGGGAAAGCAATCACGCCTCTCCCCTCTCTCCTTTCTCCCTCCCCACGCCGTGATGTGACTCCCCCCCCGGCCCAAGCGCCCTCCCCTCCCAGCCCCGCGATGCCTTGGTGTCCCCCTCCATCGCGAAGGAGAGGGTTGCGGAGGGGGCGGCTGCTGCGACATCGCTCCCTCGGACGGCTGCCTCGCTCGGCCCGCCATCTGGATCCAGTTAGCTCTCTCGGCAGTAGGGCTGAGTCTCATTTCCTCCAACCAGTAATGTTATATAGGCAGTGATCCTGTTCTGCCCTAACATAATTGAAAATTATGTGTATTGTAGACTCGCAGCGCTGAAATGTAGACTCGTAAAAATCTGTGGCTCAGGTAGCCTGTGGAGATTGAATTTGGCACACAATGAAGCTTTTATGTAAAGTAAGAATTATAAGCCACCACATCAATATTGTGTTACAGGCATGACAATTCTTGGATGAGGAGGCCTTGAGTCAGGCTCGTCACCTTAAACAATGCTAATATTTCATACTTTATCAACGGGCTGGCGTTTTGAAGCCAGCACATTGGACTTTTTTTTTTCTTTTGCAAACATCCCGCCATTGAAGCTGTGGGTTCGTTAGCTTGACGCAAGCGTTGGCTGTGGGCTCTGGCCCTCTCTGTTTATCTGACGGACAGAACATCTTGCCCTTGGCAGGGCCGGGATGCTGCTCTGGATCCCGGCCACTTGGTAGAGCTCGTGGAAGTTGCTTTATTCACCCTTGCGCGTTACTGCTTTCTGTGGGGACTGTTTGTTTAATTTTCCCCCCCACTGGTGTATTACCCACTGGTGGAAATGGAAGCTGTCTGTGTGTGGGTGGTTGTGTGCAAAACTGAGCCCTCTGGGTTTGGACCGTTCCTGCTGGGCTCCACGTGCGCGTCCAAGAGGAGAAGCAGCTTTGGCTGCGTTTTAGCCTTCGCGCTGTAAGGCTTCTTGGATGCTCTTTGGCAAGGGTAAGTAAGAGAAGGACTTTACTGAGAGTCTAAACGAAGGGTTTTAAAAGCAGAAAAGCAAAGTAGCTAAGATCTTCTGAAACTTTCATCTTGCACTTAGGCTGGTCAGCCTGGTGTGGGGAGCACCTGCGCTGAAAGTGCAGGCTCTCGTGAGATCAAGGTGGAGACGGAGCAACCGTACCTTCTTGCTCTGTTTCTTCTAAGGGGATTTATTGCTAGTAAAAACCAGCAGAACTGACAGTCCTGAAGGCTTTCTAATCCCTGCAATAATTAATGACTGGACGGGGTCTGATGTGAGCTTGCTCATGCTGCTGTGTCAGTGCCTCAGTCTGCCCTTGGAGCAGTCTCAGAGAAGCCCACGTGTTTCTTGGCCGGAGTTTTAGGACAGCTGCTGACCTGAGCTCCTTCATGGGTTGTCATGGTTGTAGGAATATTCCGGGGTTGCTCGTGACCATGGAGTGGTCATGGAAAAATGAGGGCAGTTGGTTTATTTTGGTGGGTAATGGCTTAGTGGCCATTTCCTGAAGCATCACTGGTTGAGCTGGCAGGTCCTTGTAAGTGCTTTAGCTGTGGTAGCGGTAACTTCTCACTTGCCAAAATGGTTGTGGAGTTTGAAACAGAGTCGTGTACTGTGAAGCATACGTCCTGTGAGGACGTTTCCCTTGGAAGAAGGGAAGAATACTTCACTAGCTGGCTGGAAAACCTGAGGAAGCCGGTAGTAGCTGTGACCCATCAGGACCCTTTCTGCAAATTCAGACGCCCCTTTATGTGGTGGTGTTACGATCACTGTCTAAGACAACTGATGGACTTCTAAAAATGTAGCAGTTGACTTGTTTAATAGTGCCATCTGCAAATCTGAGGTGTATCAGATTTCTCAAGTTAAGAAGCTCTTGGTCAGCTTAGGTTTTGGGTCCATTTTCTGTGCACTTGGGTTGCATTTTTAAGCACTTTTATGAAACCACAAAGGGTTAGAAAGTTACTTTAACATCATCTCAACTTTAACATCTGTGTTGTGGTCACCTATATTGAAGATCAGGGATTTGATACAAGTGATCAAATATCTGGAGGCTTACAATCAAGTCGTAAGAGTTAGAAATGACACTTATGGTAGACTAGTTCTGGTGTGTTTGGGTTTTATTTCTTGTTTTTAAGAAGTGCTGAAACATTCTGGTCCACATTGCACAAATCCCAAATGTGAAGATGAATAAAAACAAGACTTCTTGGAACTTGAGGAACTTGTATGGGGCACAAATCCAGAGTATGGCTTTGTTTATTTGCATTCCAGTAGCTCAGAAATCTCAGGCCCTCCAAGCGATGGGAATTGGTAATGCATCCTCCTGCTGACTCCTGCTTTTGGTCACCTCGGTGCCCAGGGTCTTGCAGCAAACAGGCCTTGCATGCTAACAAATGTTTTGCATACGTGAGCAAATGTGATAGTGATGTGCTGAAAGCATGGAACCAGATCTCCTTCCTTCCTTCATGGAGATTTAGATACAGCTTCCGTTGTTCGCCTGCAGTGGTGTGGGGGTTGTTTGTGTGTGGTTCTCCTTCAAGATTACTCTTACTAAAAAAAAAAAAGAAAAAAAAAAGAAAAAAGGAATGGGTAAACATAACTATTTCTCTAGATATTTTCTAGGAATACATCTGTTAGGTCAACCAGAGTCTAGTGCTAAATAGGATCTTCTGCAGTGGCCTGATCTATGTGTACAGCTGCTTTTCTTAGTTCTGGGAGGGGGCTGAAGGTATGTGGCAGTACGCATTTCTTCCAGCATGACACAGGGCTTTTAGAGATCGCTTATTGACCAGTATGCCTAATTGGCACCGTGCAGCACCATGCAGAGAGAAAAGCTTGGGCTGAAATTATATTTAGATGTACTGTGCAGAAGTCTGTTTGGGCTAACTGATTTCTCTGTGGGGCTGCTCTTGGTCAGAATCGAGCACTTCTGATGCAGCAATCTGGGTACCAGCTTGAGACTTCACCTGTTTGGTGGAAGCCTTGAGCTCCGCTGTGCAATCTGGCTGGGGTGCAATGGCTTGTCCAGTGAGTTTAGCGAGAGGACGTGCATGCCCGAGAGCAGAAGTTTTCGTCGATATTTGATGCTGGTTAAATCCGTGGGAACGTTCTGCTCCTTCTTGAAGCGTGGTTAAGCTTTTTTTTTTTGCTTTTGAATCAACACCCCCTTATGCTGCAGACTGTGTGTATTCAGCCTATCTGCCGATGACAGTGACATAAAGGAGTTGTGGCTATCCCTGAGCGCCTGGCCCGCACAGCTGGGCCTGAGTGCACCAGGCTGTACTCTGTCTTGGACATCATCAACGGGAGAGCTTATTAAGTTTGGCCTTGTAATTGAATAAGTTACACTGTGCAAGTCCCTTCAGGGCTGTCCGACAGAAGATGAGCAAGAAGAAAATAATCCACGGTGACTTCCAGAAATGGTGAAAAGTAGAGAAAATAGGTGTCAAGACCCAGCAGTGTTGGGTCTTTTTGGGGTAGACCTCTGCCTTTAGGGCTCGTACAGTGCTGGGAAGCTGGAGGAGTTGGCATGGTGCATTTGTTGAAGGAAGGCTGACAGATGACCCTTTAAATAATGAGATCATATTCTTAACCCACAATACGTGTTTTCCCTCTCCTGAGACTGATAATGCACCTTCTTCCCCTGCCTTGTCCCATCCTCTCCATGGTTTTGATATTTTGTTTCTGCGTGGGTTTTATTCTTCTAGATTTGCTACGATTAGTAAAATCAATGTAATACTGTCTTTGCAATCTGATTTATTTTCTTATTCCTGAACTGTAATGTGGTGGTATGAAATGGTTAGTGTTCTGCACAGATTTTGTCTCCACAAACATGCAGTCGTCTTAATTTTTGTTTCAGTTCCTTGCATAAGTTTTATCTTTTTACCCATGTTACCTAAGATTTGTTATTTTTTTTGCCTTTCTTTTCTGAACTCATTTTTCTTTCCCCATTTTTGTTTCCTCCATCCAGTATCTGCAGATGAAATGGCCACTGCTTGATGTTCAGGCAGGGAGCCTTCAGAGTAGACAAGCCCTCAAGGATGCTAGGTCTCCATCTCCAGCACACATTGTTGTAAGTAAACGCAGAAAGATGTTCTTCCTTTGTTTAAAAAAAAAAAAAAAAAAAGGCATTTGACATTAATAGCATTGGTTGTCATCAGTTTTCTTTTACACAAACCAAAAGAGAAATACTTAAAAACAAACAAAAACCCTAACGAGCCCATGGTAAAAGGAGGGAATACATTTGCTGTTGCTGGGCTGTTTATGAAATTATCATTCATGTGCCTCGTAGGAGAGCAGAGAGTTGAAAATGCTCTAAATTTACACACTGCAGAATTACTTAGTGGCAGTGAAGTCCAATCAGGCTGGTTTACACATCTGACAATGTTGAACTGAAGAGGATGAAGAGACACTTCTGGAAAGCATTAAAAAAAATAAAATCCAAGCCATTTCTATGGCCTTTACTAAAAAAATCTTTTCCTATTGCAAAATCTTGAATGAAAGTTTGAGAGTTGGTCAGCATTTTACCTGGGTGAAGGCTCAGCAGAGGCAAGGTCAACAGAGCACATGTCCCTTTGTGTTGTGATGACTTCTCATTTAGTCTAAAAAGTGTTATCAAATGTTTACTACTTACCTGCAAAATATGAAACTCTCTTTACAATGAGTAGCATTGCTAAAAATAGCTTTATTAACTTCTCACTTAAATTTTCAGTTCTCGGTTAAATTTTCTTGCTTCTGTTGTAAAAACAATGTTGAATTTGAAATGTTCAAATCAAATTTGCATGAGAGGGGTTTGGGGTTTTATTTTACTTTCTAAAATAGCATCCATAGAGGTCTAAAAGGAAAGTGTTTGTTTATATGGTGTTATGCAAGAGGGGCGATATGCATTGGCCCATCCTCACTGATAGCCAGTGTTAGTGCCATCTGTTGTTAAGGAGCATCTTAGCTCTGAGCATTCTTCTGGGAAATTTACCTCTGGAGAAGATGGCACGTAGTGGATTAGAATATTTCTTCTGAAATACTTTATCATCAAGTTTTACAGTTTTACATGTTTGGGTGTGTTTTGGTTTGGTTTTTTTTTTTTTGGTTTTTTTTAGACTTTTTTTATAACCATTGGATGATACCGTGATTCCCAGGAAAAGAAACATTGATTATTCTTTATCTTTTGCTATACAGTCTAAAGCTGACGTAGCTGGTAGATCGTCCAAAGCACACGTTTGTTTTGTTAGAAATCTCAAATCGTACTAAACATTTCTGAGGAGCTGCTTCTTCCATTGTTGTCTCTTTAACATGAGAAGTGTCAGCTCTTTGCTATGAGTGTCTTAGTTCTTTATTTAGAAAGAAAAAAGGTTTCCTATCTTTTAGAGTCCACAGCTTCTAAACCATCCCTCAGTGTGGCAGAGAGTGATGGGAACAAGACCCGTATTTGCCTAGTTGATATCTAGCGCTGGTTGCTTCACTTTTTCAGAGTGACTTTGCTTTTCCTTCCCATCCACTTGGGTCGTCACTAGAGGAAGAGATCAGAGAAAAGGTGTTTGGCTGGTTATTTAGAAATCTACAGCCATCCAAACCTGCCGTCACCTTATTCTTAGGAAGAGATTAACCAAAGTAACTTCCTCATTTTACTTCTTTTCTTACTGCTGTTGTGGAGGACTGGCACAGGGGACGGGAGCGTTCCTGGGGCTCTGGGGCTGTCATGGTGGGGTGGTGTTAGGCTTGTAGGAGGCGATGGTGAGGGAGCAGGAGGTTTCTCCTGGCTGGTTGCAGCCTGGAAGGGCAGGCTGAGTTTGGTGGGTAGCTTCGCTGGGGACCACCTGCGCTTTCCAGTGCTGAGCATCCGCTGTCCCTGAAGCCTCCTGCCACGCAGAAGCGTGGGTGCTTGCCTTTAAAAGTCAAAGCAGCTCATTGTGCCAGGTGGCTGGTTGGGGTCCCGGCTCTCCCATCCCTCTCCAGCCCTTCCACCTGGGTGTGGGTGAGGTGGAGATAAGTGGACAATACAAATGCACAAAAAAAAAAAAAAAAAAAGGTTCAAAAATCACAATCATTTTGGAAAATAAAGAGAAACCTGTTTCCAGGGAGTCTGAGGTTGATCTGCCTTGTATTTTGACCATTTATGGGGTTCTTATGGGTCTCTTTAAAAGCTGTTTCACTCTGCTATTCAATAAAAAGCATATTTACCATAGCAACCACTTAGGCCGTGAGGAACATATACTACCTCCGAGATGGAGGCCACCTTCCAAAAGAGACACAGCTGGCATTTGTAATGTGATCTTTTGTGCTACTTACAATGTTGGAGGGAGAGGAGGCGGAGGAGGGAGTGAGGGGGGGAGCAGTGGGGTTTTGGCGGGGGGAGGTTCTGCAAGGTTTAATGTTTATTTTTAGCAGCAAACTGTTTTGCCTTGTTCTGTTAAAATAAATAAATAAGGGGCAGCTTTTTCCACCCTTTTTCCTGGCATCCACCCCAGGCCACATTAATTCTGCAGAGTAAAAATGGTCTTATTTTTTGGTAAATAAAGTTAGAGTGGGTAATGGCATTCAGGAGAGATGAAGTGGCTGCAGATGCCAGTTGGCCTGGGATGTGTCAGCCTTCTCTGGTGTCCCTGTTTGTCGCTGCTCTGCCTGCACACAGCACCTGGGACCTGGCCGCTCTTGCATGAGGCTCTACACCCATTTCTGGGTACGTGAAAACGCAATTAATCTTTTATGGAACAATGAGGGGTATTTCACGGGCACGCTGATGTTTCTGTGTGAGCGTAATGTGTAACGTATAGGGATAGAAACTGGTTCTCCACCCACGTTGTTGTGTCTTGTCTACCCACCAAGTGTACCTATGCCAGTTTTTCTTCTTGAAATCAGTTGTGCTGCCCTGAAGATCTATAGGAAAATGCTAACACCTGCAAATCATTTCTTATCTTTCCTCTATCTCTGAAATGAGGATTTGAAGCTAATCTTTATAGCTGGATTACAAAGACAGGAAAGGAGAGTGTGGGGGGTTCCTTTTCTTCTTTTTCTTTCATTTTTCCTTTTCTTTATTTTTTTTCTTCCTTTTTCCTTTTTTTTTTCTTAATGTTCTTGCTTCTCAGTGCTTGGCTCTGATTACTATGAGCTCCGTGTCGGGGCTGCAGCCTTTACGCCCAAGCCCCGATGAAACTCCACTTGGCTTCAGCGCGGGTTTTTAGCTTAATGACTCAGGGCTGCAGAATATGGCTGTCTGTAATGTCTTAAGTAAAGTCTGTACTATTTGTCAGCTGTCCTCCTTTCAGATTTTGTTTAAGGACATTAAGTTAAGACTACAAAAATTGAAGCAAAAGACCAGCATGAATAATTTGGCTGGATTGCCCCCAGTGCCAAGGGCTGGGTTAATACTGCTTTTCATGGTGCTTGAGAGAGTCTCCAAGGCCCATAATGAGAAACAGAATATTAAACTGAAATTATGTTCAGCATGTCTTGAGGAAGGTACAGCATGAGGCTCCATTTAAGACCAATGCATTTATTTGCATTTAGGTGCTTCACTCGTCTTGTAAGACTCTCGCATCTTGCTCTGGCACAGTCATGCTGCTTATCTGTGTCCAAAGGTGAAAGAAAACTGGGGGAAAAATTGTTTTAATAGTATGCTATTAAGCTTGCTAGGTCAAAATTTTGAATTCAGCCTGCGGATAGTACTATTATGAGGCTGGGATTTTTTTTTAAGGGTTTTTATTGTTATTTGCCCTCTTTTTTCTGACCTTTGATTTCATTGGAGGTATTAAGACTCTGTAAAACAGTTTTAGCAGGAAGTTTTTGGGTGTGAAGCAGACCCTAGCTGGGTGCCTTGTATGCTCCTCTAAGCAGGTAGGGTGCTAGTTGTGCTGAAATCCCATGTTCAACGTGCACCTGATCTGCTCCACGCATGTGCCACCATCTTGGTGATAAGGATGAGATCAGGGAGCCCTAGAAGTGGGATTCTCACATGACAATTTTCTGTTGCGGTGTGGACGGGCAAGTGTAAATGAGCATGGTATGTCTGTGCAAGGATTTCCAAAATGTGCTCGCTACAGAAAGCAAGCTCCTTTAAAACCTTTTTTATCTACGCATGCACTCGTACAACCTTAAGGAGAAAAAGTGCTGTTCTTCCCTGTTCTCTGCAAAGTAAATACTCTGACTCAGCCATACCCTGTTTTAGGCAGGAGTATGGGTGAAAGACTGGTCCCGGGATCCTGCCTCCTGCTGTCTTGGCTGTACAAAGACTTGCTTTTAGCTTCCTTTGTGCCAGGGAAAAACGTTCAGAACCCAAAATGGTGGTGGTTTGGTACGGTATATTTCTTACAAAACAGTTAAAGGTCTAAAAAATTCCTGCATTTTCTTCTGTAGGGAGGCCTTTTGAAGCAAATGTAAATGTTACCTTGGGGGAGGACTTCTAGTACTATTTGGCCTGGGTTTTCTAATATGTAATGAACACAGCCATAAAGTAGACTGAATCCCCAAGAACAAAGAATCACTGTGCAGTAGTGTATCTAATTTTTTTCCTTTTTTTTTTTTTCTTAAGGAGGTAAAAGTGTGTTTTCAAAACATAATATGACAAGCAAAACTGAAGGCAAAACTATCTGAAATGTACTGTCTGTTCTCATCCCCTTCGATGTACGTGGACAGTGGGTGTCTGGGACTACTGGGTGGCTTGGAGGGATCAGGAATTGTTTCCCAGAGCGGTTAGAGTTGAAGCTGTGCAGTCTGCCCTGCCCGGTCCCTAATTTCTTTGTCTTGTGTGGTTTGCACTTAGGCACTTTGAAAGAAGAAACAAATACAAAGTAATCATGAAGTTTCTCTTAGATTTTAAAACTCACCTACAGTGTCCCTTCAAACAGGCCAGAAGTGGGGTGCATCCAGATGTGTGCGGTCCTGTATATACGGAGCCATCTGGAAGCGTAATCTTGCAACTTCCACTCGCAGTGCCCCAAGAGGGCTTTTAAAGCTCTTGCTTTGTTTGTCTTTAATAGTTTGTAGTAGAGAGGCTGTTCTTCCTCTGCAATAACCTCTTGAGATGGTTCTTGGATTTCAGGCTGCGTGAGCCCATGATGGGACACCCTCTTCCCTGGA